TTCGTATGTCCTTTTCAGAATTTAGAATTGTCAGGCTCTGTTTGTCAGATTTCTGTTTAATTTCATTTAGAGCATTTTTAGATTTTGACAATTCTTCTTCGAGCCGCTTTACCATATTCTGAGTTTCATATTCTCCCTTGGACTGTTTCTGTAGCTGATCGTGAGTCACTCTTATTTGCTCTTTAGTGCTTTCTAGTTGTGACTTTGTCATGTCAAGATTTTTCTGCAAATTATTCCTTTCCATAGTAGTCTTCTCAGATTCAGATTTAACCTTTCTTAGCATCATCTCAGTCTCATTGTTCAATTTAGTAAGCTCATCTAATTTCAGCTTTAGGGAATTAGCCCACTGATTGCTTTTTGTCAGTTCATCCTGAAGCTTATTGATCTTTTGCTGGTCCTCCTTATGTACTCTGACATTTTGGTTGAACTCCTCTTGATTTTTCTTTAGCTGGTCACGCAAAGTATCAACTTCCCCACTTCTAGATTGTGATCTTTGTTCAATTACGCTTTTTTCTTGGTGTAAAGACGTCATCTGAGAATTTAGAATTTTTTACGCTGCTCTCTGACTTTGCATGTGCTCTGGAAAGCTCTTCCATTCTTTTACGTAAGTCATCCACTTCCTGTTTCTTTCTAGTCAAGTCGTCTTCTAGGAATGATATTTTTTGCAGGGTGCCTCTTTCAGACATATCCTTTTGCCTCAGTTCATCCTGGGAAGCTTTCAGCTTCTCTCTTACATCATCATAATCAGCTTTCTGCATCTTTAGTTTATGATCTAAGGAAACTTTCTCCTGTTGCAATACCTTTAGCTCCTCCTCAAAATTAATTCTGATTTTCTTCAGGTCATTAGCCTCTTGCATAACTTCATCTGCTTTATCTTGACTCTGGTACAGCTTTCGTTCAACTTCTCTTAATTGCAACACATAGTTTTGCTCTAGTTGATTCTTCTGCTCCAATTCCATTTTAAGCTGCTGTACTATATTATGTGCATCCTCTAACTGATTTCTTAGCTGGCGGCCTTTTTCATCTGTCGCTGCCCTTTGTATCTGCAGTGTACTTAGTTCTGACTTATACTGTTTAATCTCAATTTCTGCTTTTTTTGTGAACCAATGTAAGCTCATCAAAAACTGCTGCTTTAGGGTTTCTGCCTTTTTTCATATACTGTTCTACTTGAGCTCCCCTTACATCTGAATCAATCATATAATGAACTTCTTGCACAGTACGTGCTGGTATAACCATATCTTTAGTGGAAGAAAAGCTGAATAAGGAATCTGAATATTGCCTTTTGGTTTCATATTCAATTTTCTCTCCTGCAATCTTCTTCTGATATGTTAGATTACTTTCGAGATGTTTGATCTGTCTCATAAGTTCATCTTCAGTCTCAGCTTTTCTTTTTAACTCTACCATAAGACTTGTCTTTTTACTTTCCAGATCTTGAAGGTCAGTTTCTTTTCTCTTCAAGTGCTCTTCCAGTTTTCTCCTTGCAGTAGTGCTTTCCTCTATCTGAGTCTTGAATGCTCGAAGTTTATCTTCCACAGCATCTCTTTTAGACTCAGCCTGTCTCGTCACTTGGCGTACATGTTCAAGCTGTTGCTCTGCAGCAGTCTTCATCTTGACTGTAGTCTCCAGCTCTAAACGACATTGCTGTGCCTCATATTCAGATTTTGTTTTCTGCAAGGTTAAATCTTCAAATGCTTTTTGGTGCTTTTTGATCTCCATCTCAGCAGTAGCCTTAACCTTGGGCAGCTCTTGCTCTAGCATAAACTTTTGCTTTTTCACTTCTTCTAGTGTTATCTCAAGTTCCTGTATTCTCTTTAAGAGCCTGTTGTTTTCTTCTGTGCTGGATTTTTGCTGTTCCAATAATTCTGGATATGCTGACATGGAAGAGCGTTCTGAAGACATTAAAATCTAAAAATAAAAAACAAGTTAGAAAAAAAAACACATGTTAAAATGTTACCTCTCAGTGAAAAAAGTTAAGGCTGAAAAAGACAATTGTCCATCAAATTGAACCTCGCCCCATTTTGGTCTAAATGTAAGCAGAACAACCTACTTCACCCAGGGAACTGTGACTAATTATTTCTTTCAAGCAAACAAATTCCTTTCCTAACCAACATGGTAGTTGAATTAGTTCTCTAGATAAAAGAAGTACTATCCTTAATAATTATAATTTTGGATACTGTTATTTGTTTAGAAAATAATAATGCAAATCTTCTAAATATTTTGTCTCTTTTTATGATAGGACAGGGCATTCCACAACCACTCACTTTTACCATACAGAACACCTTTCTTTACAGATGGCAAAATCTCCTCTCTGTTGAACTCAAAACAATATAAGCTGATTCAAAGCCTAAAAGCTCAAATATTGGAATCCCACCAGTATATAGATCAATATGTGCACCAAAAAACAAAATGTGAATTATGGACTCATCAATCATAATAAACGAAAAGAATTTTGAAACAACAAATATCCACAAACTATGAGCTGTCGGCCAGTAATGCATTACAAGTTTAATTGTATAGAACATGTAAATAGTATCTGTTATTAGAAGTTGTTATCTCACAATTCCTGAACCTCCTCTATTGGCTTAAACGTAAGACCCTTATTTTATTTGCTTCCATCTTCAGCTGCTCTATGCTGGATTTTAGATGCTTTTGTTTGCATTTGTTTATTGATTTAGTCTGTGATATATTGTGATATATTTTCTATTCTGTCATAAGAATAACATGTTTCTATTTACAAGTGCTATACAATTAAACGTGTGATGTATTACTGTCGTAAGGCTTGTGGTTTGTGGATTTTTGTAATTTTGAGTCTACAATTTAGGTTTTAGTTTCTTGATGCACATAAAATCTCTCTCTATATGCAACTACAACGTTAACCAGTCACATCTACAATGACTTTTGGCTGACTAATATGTCATTTCTAAGTTCTCTTTTTTAACCAAACTAAACAAGACCAGATTTTTTCAACATTTGCTTATCAGATTCTATCAGATCTCCCAAATTTTTGCAATCTACATAGTCTCTTCACACCATCTATGACTCTATGTCCTTCTCCAAAACTATACTCCATATTCATGTGTTACTTAAATGAATCCAAAACTACACTTGCATCATCTGTTGTGAAAGCTCCTAGTTCAATATACCCACATTTGTTTATGTAGATTTCTGGTAATGAGTGGTGCTGCTTAGTTTACTAGTATTCCAGAGTACTGTTTTACCAGTCGTAGTCCATATATATGGGGGACTCCGTAAGAAGAGCTGAATTGCATACCTTATACTTATTACATTATACATTATATTTCATCTGCTATTTAGCTGCTCATGGTACAATTTTGTCAGGACTTTTTTGTAATTAGTCTATAACCCTCTTGCTTTCTATTACTCCCACAAGACCCATGCTAACAAGACTAAAAAACTGATCCCATTATAAATTCTTTTGGAAGATCACTGCAAATTCTGGTACATTTGGCAAAGGTCTTGCTGAAAGCCATTGTTTGTCTTTTTTATCTTTAACCCAATGTAAATAAGTTATTGTGACCTCAACTTCAGTGCCAGGCTATTATCAAAAAGCGTCAAATGTTTTGTCAAAATCCAGATATACCACATTGGCAGTATTTTTGAAACACAGATTTGAACTTACCTTCCTATAACAAAAATATTTAAAAATTTTGATTTGTCAAAAACAGTTAAAAAATAAAAAGCTAGGATTTAAATAAATGTATTTTACATTCAAAGAGATAAAAGGAAAGAAAAAAGTTCATATAGTATATGTATCAACTTACCACAATTAGGCTATTAAAAGGAACAGATGCTTTCAACCACCTTTCTGTGTCAAAGATGTATCGAGAGAGCAGAGAGAACTGAAATACCCAACTCCACAAAAGCAAGATTAATATTGCACAATAAACAAAATCTAGAGTGTCCAAGCAGTTAATGGCAGTCAACAGAAAAAAGACCAGCATTGTATTTAGCTTACCAAAACATGCAAGACCTCACAAAGCTGATATGTATAAGGAACAGGTCAGAGAATAAACAAAGAAAATAACTTACTTTAATAAACTTTTATGTTAGGTCATTATTTGAAGCTAATGCAAAGGCAGACTAGTCCTTTCATTTATTGTGTGAATAATTACTGTGTTAACTAGGGTTTAGGTATAACAATTAAGCACAAGATGTATTTAATGAAAAATTCTTATCACTGTAATTTCTTCCAGAATAGCATTTGTTCGCCTGATGTAGATACACGTGTGTGATTTAAAAACATACCATATCTAAATTCTGGTCAACTTCGAGTTCAGGATAGTGTTCTGAAATTAAGATTATCATGTGTTCTCTTTCGTGCAAGTCTATTCACTACTGTTCAGTCTATGTCATAGAGATCAGAATGCAGAAGAAAAGAATAGTAACCCACCACCATAAAGAGAGCAACAAGCATCACTGACGTAATTTAAGACAGTACACCAAAAATAACAAAAAAAGAACAGTATTTCTCTCACCATGCTATTGGACTGTTTTATGGAAAATTAATTTGGTTTAATTGCAGTGGTATGTTTGATAGGTGTAATGCGACAAACACTTCCACAACCCTACCACACATAAAAAAGAATATAGTCATACAATATTCTAATGCAAACATTATCCTCCTTGCATGGCCCCATGTGTGCAGCATATCGCCCACAGAAATGAATGCAAGAACTGCCTACTGCAGTAAATCCTTTCACTCACGCCAATGGTCAGCTGCCAGGTATTTGTAGTACATCAGAGGCATCCTGCTAGGTTTCTGATCAATACTCAGACAAGAGGGCAGTGCAACAGGGGGATAATAACTGTACAGGTCCAGTTATAATGAAAATACACCTAATCTTTTTCATTTACAAAGGAAAAAGAATGATATTGTACAAAATTATATACTTAGCATTTTATGTAGCTCTTCTAGAAATAATGATGAGGGTGTTTTATTATGTGATATAAATTTCATTTATTTCATTTTGTTTTTTTACCTCTTCTTCTTCCAGCCTCTTCAAGGTTTCACCAGAAAATTTTACAAACTGGTTAATTAAAGTCATCAAAGCATTGTAACGAGTCTTTAGATCCATGTACTAAAATTTAAACAGAACAAGTCACTTTTAATTACAAAGCAAGAAGTATTATTATGTGTGATATATGAAGATGTATTATCAGTCAGGGCCTTCACCACTAGCCTGGAGACCAGCCATTAGAAATGAAGGGTGGTAGCGTCAATATGTAGCAACTGAATGAATGACATAATTTCTGCATGCTGCTGCTGTACACTGGATTGGGACTTTTGCTTATCTAACAGTGGTTGTAAAGCTTTTTTTATTCTATTAAAATAACAAACATGTTATACTTACCTGCTGTTTGCAATGGTTTTGCACAGACCAGCCCTGAACCTACTCTTCTCGGGTGCTGCGCCTGCGCTGCTGGCTCCCCCCCCCCACCGAGTTCCCCCATACCAAGCCACCTGCTATGGGGTTACTCATGCGTGCTCACTCCTAAGCCAGCTCTATGTTTCCATAAGACTCCCTCTTCCTCCTCACTGGCTGTGACTGACGGCAGCAGGAGCCAATGACTCTTGCTGCTGTGTTTCAGCCAATGAGGATCGACAAAGCTGAGAGAGCCTCTGCTCTTGGGCACATCGCTGGATCGAGATTGGGCTCAGGTAAGTATTAGGAGGGACTAGGGGGAGCTGTACACTGAAAGGTTTTTACCTTCATGCATAGAATAAAATCCTGAAGCCTTTAGAACCACTTTAAGCCAGCCAAAGACATATCAAAATTCAGTTAGCTCAGCAGGAACCAGACAAATTTTGATCCATCAATGGACAGGGTAGTTGTACTTAAGTCAATCTATCGATCAACTTCAGTACTTTTGGGTCTTTTCGTATGATCACTGCTGCCAGCTATAATGGTGCGCCTGATAACGCCACAACAACGAAACGTGTAAGGCAAATCTTCACTGATCCAGGAGCGAGAGTGTGTCCATAAGTGAGCTGCTGGCTTCTGTTACTTTTCCACACAGTGCAGCTGTGCATCTGTTGATTACCAAAGTGAGGGGAGATGGTGGCTTGGTACTTCTTTGTGCAGTTACTCTGACTCCTTAATGTGAGTGCAGTTTATGATTTTAATCAATAAAATGTGTTTTTTAGGTTACCCTATGAGGCTTTCTTCTTTTTTGAGTTGGGCTTTGGTTTGAATTGGAATGTCCTGTCACCTGCTGTGACTACCTGGTTATAAGGTGAGCATTATACCCATTGGTGGTAATTATTATTATTATTATACAGGATTTATATAGCGCCAACAGTTTGCTCAGTGCTTTACAAAATAAAGGGAGACAATACAGCAACAATTCAGTTCAATACAAGAGGGTTAGTAGGGCCCTGCTCCTTGACCTTACAATCTAAGAGGAAGGGGCTGATGGTACAAAAGGTAATAACTCTGGGGGATGGACTGGTAGAGGAATAGAAGTTTCCGTTACTAGCTGAAGGCAGGATAGGCATGCCTGAAGAGATAGGTTTTCAGAGATTGCCTAAAAGTGGGCAGAGTAGGCGATAGTCTGATAGATTGGGGTAGAGAGTTCTAGAGGATGGGGGAGGCTCTGGAGATGTTCTGGAGATGAGCATGGGAGGAGGAGACAAGGGAGCTAGATAGCAGGAGGTCATGGGAGAGGACAGTTTGGTCGATATTTGGAGACAAGATTGGTGATGTAGTTTGGGGCAGAGTTATGAATGGTTTTATATGTGAATGTTAATGGTTTGAATTTTATTCGTTGGGCAATGGGAAGCCAGTGGAGGGATTGGCATAGAGCAGTGGTGGGCAACCTTTTTTTTTCAACTGAGCCAAATCTCACCAAAACCACGATTGAAATTTATTTTGAGAGCCACATTTTTAAAACTGAAAATACATAGGATGGTACACTGTTTTTAGTTTCAATACGTTTTTATAGTAATTCATCCCCCATATAGTAATTCATCCCCCATAGTAATTCATCCCCCATATAGTAATTAATCCCCCATATAGTAATTAATCCCCCATAGTAATTCATCCCCCATATAGTAATTCATCCCCCATAGTAATTCATCCCCCATATAGTAATTCATGCCCCATAGTAATTCATCCCCCATATAGTAATTCATCCCCCATAGTAATTCATCCCCCATATAGTAATTCATCCCCCATATAGTAATTCATCCCCCATAGTAATTCATCCCCCATATAGTAATTCATCCCCCATAGTAATTCATCCCCCATAGTAATTCATCCCCATAGTAATTCATCCCCCATAGTAATTCATCCCCCATATAGTAATTCATCCCCCATAGTAATTCATCCCCCATAGTAATTCATCCCCCATATAGTAATTCATCCCCCATATAGTAATTAATCCCCCATAGTAATTCATCCCCCATAGTAATTCATCCCCCATATAGTAATTCATCCCCCCATATAGTAATTCATCCCCCCTATAGTAATTCATCCCCCATAGTAATTCATCCCCCATATAGTAATTCATCCCCCGTAGTAATTCATCCCCCATATAGTAATTCATCCCCCATATAGTAATTCATCCCTCATAGTAATTCATCCCCCATATAGTAATTCATCCCCCATAGTAATTCATCCCCCATATAGTAATTCATCCCCCATAGTAATTCATCCCCCATATAGTAATTCATCCCCCATAGTAATTCATCCCCCCTATAGTAATTCATCCCCCATATAGTAATTCATCCCCCATATTAATTCATCCCTCATATAGTAGTAGTAAGTAAGTAGCAAGTAGTAAGCCAAGTCCCCCCTGTGTCAATTCACTTACCTTTGCTCCGCGCGTTCCTCTCGCCGTGTTCCCGCGCCGTCCCGGTCTTCAGGGCGGACTGTGAAAGGAGCCTAGCTCCTCTCACGTTCGTCACGCTGCCCCGCCTACACACATCCTGACAGCCAATCACTGGCTATCAGGATGTGAGTGGCAGCGAGACTGGCCAATCATTGCATTTGAGCGCGCTGCCCTGGCTGTTTTTTTTTTGGATCACGCTGCAGAGTCCCTGCCGCCTGAGAGGAGGGAGGGGAGCGGGCGCCCCGGCACACAAGAGCCGCATTAAAGCGTGTAAAGAGCTGCATGTGGCTCGCGAGCCGCGGCTTGCCGACCACTGGCATAGAGGGATGGCAGATATGCAATGGTTACTCAGGTGGATGAGTCTGGCAGCAGCATTCATGATAGACTGAAGAGGGGATAGCCTGCGATTGGGTAGGCCAATAAGGAGGGAGTTACAATAGTCAAGGCGAGATATAACAAGGGAGTGAATAAGTTGCTTAGTAGTTTCAAAGGTTAAAAACAGGTGTATCTTGGAGATGTTGCGGGGGTGAAGTCTACAATTGGACAGTGATTGGATTAGGGGCTGAAAGGACAGATGAGAGTCTAGGATTACACCTAGTACCCTGGCATGAGGGGAGGGACTTATGGTTGTATTATTGAACTTGATGGAGAAGTCAGGGAAGGGGGAATGGGCTGGAGGGAATACTAAGAGCTCAGTTTTGGAAAGATTGAGTTTGAGGAAGTGGAGTGACATCCATGTCACTTAGTAGGTTAGTAATGCGAGAGGAGACTGAAGGGGTGAGGAGTAGAAAGATAGATTTGTGTGTCATCAGCATACAGATGGTATTTAAAGCCATGGGAGTTTATCAAGTGACCAAGGGAGGAGGTGTAGATGGAGAAGAGAATGGGTCCAAGGACAGAACCTTGAGGGACCCCTACAGAAAGAGGAAGTGGAGAGAAGGAGACAGAGTTATAGGTAACACTGAAGGAGCACTAAGATAGGTAGGAGGAGAACCAGGAGAGAGCAGAGTCTCAGAGACCAAGAGAGTGGAGTTTTTTTGAGGAGGAGGGGATGGTCAACAGTATCAAAAGCTGCAGAGAGGTAAGGTAGTAAGAGTACGGAGTAGTGGCCATTGGTTTTAGCAGTTAGTAAATCATTAGTAAATTTTAGTAGTGCAGTTTCAGTGGAGTATAGTGAGCAAAAGCCAGATTGTAAAGGGTCAAGAAGGTTGTTGTCAGTGAGGTAGGAGCTCAGATGATTGTAGAGAGTTTAGAGGTAAACGAGAGCAGGGAGATGGGTCTTAAGCTGTTCAGGTTGGTGGGGTCCAGGGAGGATTTTTTTAAGTAAATCCAGCACTGTTCATGGATATGTTCGCATAGATCACGGATGAACACAAACTTATATGCACTTGTTTATTGATGTTTATCATTTTTTTATTGATTGGTTGTGCACATTGATTGTACTTTTTCACATCAATTGTTCGATATAAGGTCACATGGATCAGGAGTGAATACAAACATGTGAATTTGATTACCTTTACTTATTTATGTTTATTGTTGTTTATTGATTGGTTGTGCATATGTATTGTCTGTATTTTTAGTCATTTTGCACCTTATTATAGCTTTTTGTTTTGTAACATATGAAATTTGACACATTTTTAAGTTAATTTATTCTTTTAGAGCATGTTTCATATACAGAATACAAGAGTGCAGTGGGAGGGATTCCCCTCTCAATGCTGATGGGGGAATCAAGTGATTAACTTTCCTTCAGCCTGTGGTTGAAGGAAAGAAAATTGCATAACGCATGGACAGCCTTAGAGCTGTAGGAGACAGGAAGTTTTAATATATACAGTCCTCTAGACTGCCATTTGTCAGAAGAGGAGTAACTACAATCAAAGAACAATATATTGCTAAATATCACTAGATTCATACTGTTCAAATTGTTTTGTTTTTTTAGCATCTGCATAAAAAGCTCACCTCCTGTACAACAATATCCGAAGAGCTCTGAAATCTTCTGCGCTTCATTGGAGACTTTTGATGGGAATCCACTAATGCTCTATATGTCATTAGCTGTAGTTCATAATCCTGTTAAATATAGAACAACCAATATTATGATTTTGGAATCAGGTGGAAACAGCACTAATAAGATTGCAGAAAAACAATCATATACCTTAATAGCCAAAGAATACTGCTCTGAATACTTCTGACTTTCATCCACCTTGCCTTGTTTCATCTCAATGTCTGAAATCAGCATCTGCATTATGTATGACATTAAATTAGAAAAATACTTATAAGTGTTTTTTTATGTATGAAAAGGCAAATGACACATTTCTCATAATCAGCAATCAAATTTAGAAACCAAATAAACATTTTGCCAAAACAGTAAGACAGTGGCATATCATCCATGTGGACCCTGGGGGGTGAGTCACTGTGCTGTAGCATTCAATGTACATATGGAAGAGTATTCTAACATGCCCTCCTCCGCTCATGTGCCCCCACCTTCCCATAATGGGAACCCCCTCATTGACCCTTTGCACCCTCTCCCTGCAGTGCTGCTGACCGGCTTCCATCCTCCCCCTCCCACCAGCTTCAGCTTCTGCAAGGGAGCTGCACAGAGAATCAAGCTCTCCACATACAGTTCGTCCCATTCATGGCACTCTGAACTCCCCTCACCGCAGCACCGATTCGCTACCTCCCCTCCAGTGCTAATGGCCAGGTTTCCCTTCTCCCCTTCCTGTCAGCTGCAGCAGAAGATCAATGTAGTGTTCAGGATGGACAGCGGGGAAGGGGCTGGTAAACATGTCATGTTTACCAGCCCCTTCCTGAGTGAACACAGTGAGCAATCGGTGTTCATTCATCACTGACACTGAAGCATAGTAAACTTTGGGTGAATAGGAGCCTCTGTACAGAGACTTCTATTCATTCATTTGCTGTGGAGCTGAGGCTACAGAGAATAAAAGAAAAGTAAAAAAAAAACTAGTAAGGCCTCATTGACCACAGCGTACACCCATGCAAGGTCATGTTTATCCACTGAGGATGTGCAAGTTTTATGTGCATCCCCATGGAGGTAATCCCATTCATGTCAATTGGGATGCAGCGACTTTATGGACACAGCCATTTCTCCCTATTTGGCATACATGTGGGTGCCCATACTTATGCCCAAAAAGCGTTCATTTTTTCAAGAGTTTCTGCAACAGGTAGAAATAATCCAGTGGCTGTATAAAAAAAAAGATACCAAGGTCATAACTGCAGCTGCAGCCATGACTCTGGTAGAACCAGTGAAACACGTGGATGTACGTGTATGTCAATTTGCGGGAAGTGGTTAACACGGAAGTTACAGTGTATAAACAATGGCATATTTGGAATCAGTGGCACTACCAACATTAATCAATTCTATAAATGAGATCTGTTTAGAGATAATGTTACACTGTGATCATAAGTTAATGGTCTCCTAGAACATTATTTAGTACACATAATGGTTGCTGACATCATAACTCACCTTCTGCTGGTCAAGCTGTTTAGAAAGTGCCTTGCTGTCAGGCATGCTGCCTTGCAGCTTGCTTTGTGCTTCCTCTATTTGCCTAATCCAGGAGTCAAGAGTCAAGTATGAGTCTTTATAGTACTTCAGTGATTTGCTAATTCCTTCCAAGTCTCGCAACCTGTCAAACAACAAAGTGCATCATGCCTTTTTATTTTATGATAAAAGATGCCTTGTGAAAACAGCAATACTGTTAATCTTTTTTTTTTTATTAAAAGAAAAGCACAAGCATATTTACATGTGATGGAATTGATTTGCAAGTAGGCTGTTCACTTTGCAAGGGAAGGGAAGTTGTACTTTGAAAGGGAATTTCCCCCAGAGCTTAGTGAATCCGATTAAATTGCAGTTTGTAAATAATACACAGTTAAATGAATGGAAAATTAAATAAAACAGTATTTTTGCTCTCATGTAATTGGATGATAAAAGTCAGCAAAGCTTCACCTCATTCACTAACTTCCCTTGCAAAGTGAACAGTTTGCCATTTGCCTTTAATACAGCAACACCGATGTATAAATAAATGTTACATATGTATGCATATTCTGCATTCTATCCACACAGCACAGCAGTATCTGACAAAGGCAGCCACTGCTAGCACTGATAAAGGTACACAAAGATAATACCAGATCCATATGATATCACCCAGAGAACACTGGGCAACTTATCTTGAAGGAAACAACACTTCTTGGTTTACTTTTTATGGAATCTCCCATAGTCTTACCCATAATAAAATGGCTCAGGGATGTCTTCTTGCTTCCCTCCACATTCCCCAGCACAAACTGGATATGTGGTCAGACGACCACCTATCCATCGACTTAGTCATGTCAGCATAAACCTCTTATTGAACTTAACAGTATTGCTGCATAGGTAGCTGTTCTTCCACTGTGACCTGCTGCCTACTCGTGCATTTGAAAATAAATAAATAAATAATGAATATAACTAAAAAATACAGTCCAACAGTTTAACCACTTAACATGTTACTAAATCCATGACCGTGCATACAGTATATCCGGTCTTCCACAGTACACAGAACATGGAAATGCAATTATTTTAGTAAATATAAACTAAATGCCTTTTCTCAATAGCTGTCTTGTGACTTCTATCAGTGTCCAGCTGATCAATACTTAATCTTGTAGGAGGAGTTTTAATTCTTTTCTGACTGTCCTATGAGACTGTATGATGCTTGACTCTCTTTCCAGGCAGCACTGATTGGCCCTGTGCAGATCACATGCACCCTCCCCCCAAAAAAACCTCTCTAGCAATACACACCAAACTGAGCATGTGCAGACTTGCCACTGCTACTCTTTACTATGGCAGATGGATTGGGGACAGTATAAAAAGGGGAGGATCAAACAGCCTTTTTACACAACACAGAAGATTAACCCCTTAGATTCCACAGTAAGTATAACAAGCATGCTTTACTGCATATACAGACTGATTTTACTGTTGTGAGTTTAGTAACACTAATAAAATAATTGTATCAGTGTTGTGGGTTCCTTTTGGTGATGGATAACTAATCCTAACATTGAAAGACTGTTTAGATCACTGACACACATACAAACTATTTTCTGCTCAATTGGAATGTCTCAAATTTAAGAATCTACTCCTGGCACTGGAAGCAATACATGTTTGTCACTTTGAACAATTATATAATGTATATAATATACCTAAACTAAGGAGGACAGACTACAAACCTGTTTTCAATTTGGGAATGTACATTCTGCCACCTCTCTGCAATTTGGTCTGCCTTTTCTTTATGCCAGTCAAAGTCGAGATCCCGTTCTTTGTGAACTTTGAACATTTGATCGCTAATGGCTTTGGCTTTCTGTAGTTCATCTTCTAATGCGTGAAACACCTCTCTTTTCTCATCAACCTCTGACCTCCATTGCTTTAATAAAGATAATAAAAAAGTAAAATTCTGTTAAAGCATAGTCTTTACTAGAAGAACCAGTTTTAGCATGATGTGACAAAACAACGAACTGCACTGGGATAAATTAATGAAGTGACAGTGTCTGTTACTATAAATATATAGTGGATTTATTTAAAATATTATGAACAAGTCTTTATATTAATGCCTTTAGAGTATGGATTTTACATGACTTTGGAGGGCAAACTTCCTGGTAGGAGTGGGTGTGGATTGCCAGAATTGATTTGGTAAGTAGTCCTTTGGACCAGTTAAGTGAGACATTGGAGCTGATTTACTAAAGGCAAGTAGGTTGTTTGCTGTGCAAGAGTAGTTTTACTTGCAGATGATTGGATGAAGAAAAGTCAACAGACTTTCACCTCAATCACTAAGCTGGGGGAAAATTCCCTACAGCCTATTTTCCTTTAGTAAATCAACCCCATTCAGGTTATCTGGTAAAGTGAGCTGCTGCTTCATTGTGAACCCTGGCAACTCAGTAGAATTGATTCACTCATCTTGTGTAACAAAGAAGATCATATATTTATGATGCAAAAAACAGATTCAGATAGACAACCTTCACACCTATACGAAACAAAGTGCAAATGACTAATACCTGTCCAACAACAATCAACATTTAGTTATGTCGCTATAGGGAAAAGAAACATAGGCCGCTTCAGCTTTGTCCTATGCACTGCAAATAAATACGCACAATATGGTGCTTTGTGATAATTCACGGAACAGACTGGTATACACATGTCTTATTGCACAAATGATTTGTCTACCTTTGAGTATATTACTGCTTACCTTTAGGGTGGCAATCAGTCTATCAATTGAACTTTTATCAGCTGTAATGACATCCTCTTCGCACAGTTTGGTCTCATATGTCTTCACTAGAGTCTCAGCTCCTTGTGTGTTCTTTAGCACCAGATTTATTGTCTTTAACCTAGGTTAAAGCAAAAACAAAACATTAATATAGCTCTTTCTTTATATCATTTCTCATTGCTTTCTTTGGTTTCATTCTGTGCTTTCTAGCTGGCTCTATCAGTAAAAATGTTTTATAATTTCTCTGGACAACACAATATGGCAAATCATACAACTATAAATGAATCATGTTATTGACAACAGTTATCTCTATCCTGTGATTTCTATTACTTCCTACTTAGCTAGCTCATAGCGCTGAAAACGCGCATATACATTCCAAGATCTCTGACTAATTCCAGGTGCAATTAAGGGACTCTCACAATGTCTAGTGAATGACCTCCGCAGAAACCACTGGCACATAAATCTAACAGGACAAATCAGCTGGTAGACTACTTTTGTTCAGAAAAAAAGCCCTGAGGATATGTTCAGATCACTAATAAATGTCAACCTGATGTCTTTAATTTTCCATCATAAATAAATGGCCCTACCCAGCAAACTTGATGGTGCTCACTGTTCTCTATGGCAGGAATGGTCAAGTACAGAAAATTACAGCAACCAGCAAGGACCTTTCCAAAACACAACAATTTGAAAGCCAGCTACCTAAACCAGAACTAAACAGCATGGTGTTGCATAAACCTAAACCAGGTCACATACTTTTCTAGGTAGATGGAAGACATGGAAAACAGCATGTTCATATACTGGATAACTGCATTCAGTTCTGCTTGTAAAGCTTCGATCGATGGAGAAGCAGCAGCTTGGCTAAAGAATTCCTCACATTTATCTGAAATTGCTGATAAATCTACTCTCAGATGATCCAACTCCTTCTTCACTTTCTGTAGAGACAAAAAATAAATTATTTTAATACACTCCTCTGCATAACTTCCATTAAATGTAACACATAATCCTGTGAATAGTGATAACAAAAATACAGTTTACAGCCACATTACAGAGCCTTTTAATAACATAATTCCTAGATACATCTACTGTCTGTAATGCTGATAATTGTGCGGTGGAAATAGTCACTAGAACAATCCAGGTTCAAATGTCCTTTGTATGACTCGAAATTTATATCATCGTTCATCGCAGATAGGGTACATTATAACTTACGAATTATGGTGCATAGAATTTTGCTACATGCACATTTCAATCATCTCCACAGAAAAGTTGTATTAAAAGGCCTACACACACTTTCCAACTATCTTTGCTATTAGGTTATTTATAATAACTGGCAGTATATATGACATTGTATAGTAGGCTGTACAATGAATGTGTTCAACTAACAGACCTTTACACACTTCTCACAACTTGTATATTTGTATTGTAAAATATTTTACATGCTGCTTCAAGCGAGATCAGGCTCCACACTCAACAATCACATCTCAGGTGCTGGCTTGTCTTGTCTCCACCAAAGCAATCATTTGTACCAGCAACAGGAATGCTGCACATCGACATGCAAAATAATATTCTTCCTTTCATAAAATAGTCAGCAGGAACAAGTTCTGCTCTGACATATTTTGGACTAGGCAATGCAATTTTCACAAGTAATGATTTTTTTAGTAAAATTCTGTGCCTAGTGTGCAGCATTCTTGTTTCTGGTATCAGTTATATTTGTAATGTAAGGGCAGCACAGTGGCTAAGTGATTAGCACTTCTGCCTAGCTGCACTAATCGGTTAACATCCCAACTATGTCACTTCCTGCATGAGTGTTTATGTTCTCCCTGTGCCTGCAAGGGTTTCTTCCCATACTCCAAAGACATGCTGGTAGGTTAATTGGCTCCTGTTTAAATTGGCCCTAGTATGTGTATATATGAATGTGAGTTAAGGACCTTAGATTGCAAGCTTCTTGAGGAGAGGGACTGATGTGAATGTGTAATAAATGTAAATTGACTGTGTTATATAAGTACCTGTAATAAAATTTTAAAATATTGTACAAATGTACAGTCTGAGAGTTAGTCAATGCTTATAAAGTAATACAACCAATATGCAGTATAACTGTGAAATGGTAATATAAACTAAACCTCATCTCAACTGTCATGGATCCTACATGATTATTATCAATTTATTTGGTCATGAATACTTAGTGGACTACAACTTGTTCTGGACATGTCAATGGTGTGCTTAGTACTGACTTTGGGTAATCCTAATTCTCACACAGATTCCCAATTTATTGTTCACAGATTATTGGACGACAGCTGAAATATTTCAAGGATTTTCCTCAGAATATGGCAGTGCTGCCATATTATATCTCTTCAACACATACTTTAATGAGCCCAGCCACACCTCCTGTTCAGAAATCCTCAGTGCACTTTCATGAAGATCATCCCTGTCCAATGGAGTTCTGATTTGTCGAATGAGACGCTCCTCAATGCTCTCCAGTCTAAGTCGAAAGTTTCGAATCTCAGAAGTGTAAAGATTGTAAACAGATTCTTCTTGCTCCTCTGTTAATTGAAAGATGGTACAGTTATATACAATGTTAACTCTGGCACTCAGCACTAAACTAATTTATTCTAATATTATCAATAAAAAATGCTTGCATACTGTAGCTACAGCTAAATACTGGAATCTAGTCTCTAGTTGTTTCTAAAAGCAGTAGTAATACCATTTAGCAGGGACCAAGGCATACAGAGTTACTATCCATTTATGATGTGCCCTTAAACAAAGCCTTATTTTGGCTTAAACAAAATATCTGCAAGTAAATAGGCTGGATAGCATTTTTGAATAAACGTACTCACTAATTTTACTGGAATTTCTAAGGTTATATAGTGCAAGCACAAACAAACATCTACATTTCTACAGCACATACTGTGTGTACTGTGCAAAATAACTCTTTGAAGTAGATTTCCTAAAGTAAAAAAAAATGCTGTTCGCTTTGCAAGTGGATTTTACCTTAGCTTTGTGACTGTGGTGAAACTTTTCTTTTTAAACTGAACAGCCTATTTAGCAACTCAAGCCCTATATAGTTAAAATCACTCTAATACCTAATATTTGCAGCTTCAAAAACAAGGGCTTTACCCAAATGATTTTGACTGGAGCAGGATATTGTCCAGAAGATCTCTATACATGAACCCACTGATTATCCCTTTCTTACACTGCTCACAGTGCTGAGAACATCTGAGTGTCATTGGTTCTCGCTATGTATGTAGCTGACACACAAATCCAGATCTAATAAGGTTATAATCTCGTCTGGCAGACGGTCAACACTTGCATATGTGCATTAAATATACACTCCTGTCCGACTGAACTATGTGCATGCAAATCAAAGCACACATCTACATATTCATAAATACTTCCATGTAAATATTTTTAAAGTTTTTATTACGTTTGTCATAGCAAATATTTTTCCTAATTACTGTAAAGTATATAAGCTTACAAAAGTGTGTCTATGATTAAAATAATTTTTAAAAACTCATCTCATTTGAATAACAGCCAAAGAATTAAAAATTAGACATTTATAGAGAAATATTTTACCCTAAGGCTAATATAAGTATGGATTTACTGTGCATGCCAACTTTTGTGTTGTTTCAAAATAAAAAGAAACACAACTAGTATACCAAAATATTATATTTAAATGTAGCTAAAAGCTGGGGAGTTAAATCATTCACCAGTTTCTTGTATCTCTCAGGAATATGAAATAATTAATTTCAGGTCCCTTAAGTTTTATATATAGTTCTTCTTCAATAAAGTCTTTTTCTATTTTAATATTCACTCTAATTTTTAAAAAAAACTTACCAGAGAAGTAAGGGAGGACTGAAACAAAAAGACAAATGTGCTAAGTCTTGAGAGAAACACTATTTATTTTACAAGCTATTCTCAGTACTAATTAGAAAATACAATGAACAGATATATAAGGCAGGCTGAAGTTGGAACATACTACATACAAAAGCTAGGTTACCCTGTCACCAACTGTATATGATGATCTGGAATGCTGGGACCTGTTATTCCTTTTCATTGGGACATGCCCAATACTAAAAAAATCTTTTGTGTAATTCAGTGAGACGTCTCAAAATGTAGTTGTAGAAATAAACAAGATTTTGTTTATAGCGTATGTCACTGCTACATTAGAGCAATGGTCAGTTTGATGGCTGCTATTTATGTATCTGTGTTCACCTCTTTCTGCAGATTTCAGCAGCTCCTCATAGTACAATTTGCAGACATTCACTTCTCTTTCTAGCTGGGATATGTCAGAGACAGAGAACATCTTCGAATCCTGGCTGTCTTCCAGAAATTCTTCAAAACGGGTTTTCAGATTGCCCTGTACTTGCTGATGCTCTCCAGGCAGCAAGGTTTTGATCTGTAATTTGAAGTAGCACTATATAAATCCATCTAAACCAGACAATGCAATAAAGCTGTTAAATGGACCATAGAAACATATAATCATACAACGTATCAAGTTAAAGTGATTCTATGCATTAAGTTAAAAAAACCTGTGTCACAGAACCCCCCCCCCCCCTTGCCCGTTATACCTGAGCTCATTCTCGATCCAGTACCATGTATGACTTTCTCCACTCCTCCTCACAGGGCTAATTGATAGTAGAGGAAGACACTGACTCCCACTACTGTTAACAATATTCTGTGATGAGTGAGTGAGGGGCAGGGCCGAGCCAATAGACGCAGACAGGGCAGCTTGGGAGTGAGCCTGCACGAGTGCTCCCATAGAAGGCAGCTTTATATGGGGGCACTCACCAATAAGGAAGAGCCAAGAGCGCTGACAAAGGACTCAAGAAGATAAAGATTGGGGCTGCTCTGTGCAAAACCATTGCACAGAGCAGGTAAGTATGACAAGCTTGTTTTTTATTTTAAAAAAAATTAAGCTTCAATATCACTTTTAACTTTTTTAACCCCTTCCTGCTGACCAACTTCATCCGTGGAGCCGCATGAATGCAGACCTGTGTTTGTGCAGGGAGCAGGTTGCACAATACACTCCCAGCAGAGAGACTGGGCTCTTGCTGAGAGCCTTGGGTTCCGTACTAATAATCAGGAACTGGGAGGCCTGCTTTCCAATCACCTGATAGCCTTTGATTGACTATCAGAGTGATCAGTCACTTTTCAGCCCACCCCTATATTTTTTTTCTCCTCTTGAATGGAGCAAAGATACATTGTATCTTTTTTTCCCTTGCTAGAGGAGAAAGTGTAAAGAAAGAAGTGTGTGTTAAAAAAAGAGAAATAGTAAAGAAAAATATCTAGACCAGGGTTTGATCTGGGTCAGGGCCAGGGTTCAGGTCAAAGATCATTGTCAGCATCAGGGTCAGTGTATTTTAGATGGGACTTAACAAAAAACATTTTTTTTAAATTAGTCAGTTAGTGTCAGTGCCTTTGTGTGTTTTTAGGTAAAAGAAAAAAAGTAAAATTTGCACTATTGTTTCTGGGTCCTATTGTGGGTACACAGAACAAACAATGTACACATATATGGTATCTCTGTGATTGTCAGGAGCAGGAGAATGTATTTTGGATTGTTCTTTGGTGGTGGTTATGGTGATAGCAAGCTAAATTAAAAAAAAAATTTTAATGATTTTTTTTATGCCAGTTTTCCTTAATAAAGAAATCAGGAGATACCCATTACCATTTACCACCAAATGAAAGCCCAATTTGCCTTGAACAAATAAGGTATAATTCACCTGAATACAGTTGATAGTGAGGATATGTACAGTTGTTTTTACACATGGCAACATTCAAGCATTAGGGTTTGTTATACTTTCGGTCATGAAAGGGCTAATTTAATACATATATACAGTGCATGCCCACACCAATTTGTCCACAAGACCAAACATATTATAAAGCCTACTAAAAGATAGGAGAGTCTTCACTCAAACATTTGTGTGTGAACATTCACTTCAATTATCCAATTATGTGAAAAGTGTCTGCAAATGATTGTTTATTCCAAGTAAACACGAATTTACGTTTCACATGATGTGATAACTAATGTTAATATTCACACAAATTCTGTTATTGAAGATTCTCAACTCCTTTAGTGAATCAGCCTCTCAATGTCAACTTTTGAGTCTGTAAAGATGAAGAGTGGAGCTTACTGAAGAAACCTTGCTGGCCCGGATAGCCTCAATTTCACTCATCAGGTAATGCCAGGATACCATGCTCTTCATGTTTACGTGAGATTCATGCCACAGGGATAGGACACTCTGATACATTTGTTCAATCCTGAGGTAAGAACAATAATAGAACTGATCAGATTTTTCAAGGGTCATATGGTTTAACTACTTAGACTGTAAACTTAGCGTGTAAGCAGTGGATTCAGAAGCTCTTCACAGCCATCTCTGATATTTGTACGTATGTAATAGAAACCCTCACTGCTGAAACAATATTTGTACATGCATGTGTCACTGTATTGCATATAAGTACACATATAAATATATGCTTTCTATTAATTACTAGCCATTGCGTTAGTTTGCAACACAATATATATATATATATAAGTTTGACAACAGATTATTCATCTAAAATAATTTGGGGCAGTGACTATGGAAAAATAATAGCACACTGAGTCCCCGCAAATACAGAGGTTTGTATATGTTTAGGAAGTTGCCAAAGTAAGTAGTTTTGAGCTCTTCAAAGTGAGACACTGCCCTGCTGACATATTTTTAAAGATTCTTCATTATATTTTTAGGTTGTAGAGTAGCTCCTACCTGTTTGCAGCATCTACAGCATCTTTGTTTGGTGCTGGCACCGTAAAGCACACAGAAGGGACCATTGCCTCATTGCCGGTTGGACTGATCACTTTCCACTTTGCCCGATGTGAATTGCTGCCCAGTACACATTCATCATCTTTGTAAATAGTAATCTAGACATATAAGAGAAGACTTTTCAAATTTATTTATTAAGTGCTATTGATTTTCATCTCTTTACTGAATTTATACCTGTCTTTTGTTTTTTTTTTTTTTTTTTGTTAGCCTTTCACTAACAACACCGCGTGCTGTTCCACCTAGCAGCACCAGGGTCGTCCACCTGCATGGAGTCTGAATGTTCTCCCTGATCTGTGTGGGTTTCCTGCAGGTACTCTGATTTCCTTCCACACTCCAAAAGACATGCTGGTAGGTTAACTGACTCCTGTCTAAATTGTCCCTTTTATGTGTATGTATGAATGTTAGTTAGGAACCTAAGATTATAAGCTCCTTGAGGGCAGGGAAAGATGTGAATGTACAATATATATATATATATATATATATATATATATATATATATTGCACTGTGTAAATTGATGGTCCTAGATAAGTACCTGTAATAAATAAATAAACAAACAAACCACACTACCACTGGCTACCAGACCACACTATAATGTGAGGACACTGAATCTGAGCCTTCACATTCATGTTTCAACAGTGCCCTCAAACTGGTAAGCACTTCAAAAGTAGGAATGATATACTTCTATGAGAGTTTCCTTAGGCAAATGACACTCCAAACAGCAGTGCAACTCTCTGGAAGCTGTACACACGGAGTTATAAACTACTGAAGTTTTCTAATAGCTCCCTTAAAAAAATGTTGGAGACTTTTAATTTTTTTTATGTAGTTGTGTGTCATTTGATAAAGTGATTCTAAAGGCTTATTTTTTATGCTCAGTGTAGTGGTTTTGCACACAGCAGCCCGGATCCTCCTCTTCTCTGGTCCCCCACCGGCGCTCAGGGCCCCTCCCTTCTGTTGGGTGTCTCTACAGCAAGCAGCTTGCTTTGAGGGCACCCGCTACTCCATGTGTCCATTCACACATGGAGCTGTGGTTCGGCCCCGGCCCCTCTCTCTTCTCATTGCCTCGCTGGCTGTGATAGACAACAGTGGGAGCCAATGGCACCCGCTTCTGTCTCAGCCAATGAGAAGGGGGAGTCCTGGGATAGCCGACACTCCAGTGTACATCACTGGATCGAGAGGAAGCTTAGGTGAGTATTAGGGGGGCTGGGGGGGATGCTGCACACAGAAGGTTTTTTTACCTTCATGCATAGAAGAATGCATGAAGGTAAAAAACCTTAAGCCTTTACAATCACTTTAAGGTTCCATCAGTATGAAAATAATATAGAATCAAATAAAAATAAAAGTCCTCTTATAGAGCTGTTAAAACTATTAGCATACTGCCTACTCAGTGTAAGAAATAAAACAAATCTGAGCTTCAGATCTAGGTGACATACAATATATTTACAGTGCTTAGTGTGGTAAACATTTCAAGCAATGACATGTCTTGCTGAGTTGTACATTATGAAAAGCAATATTTCAGTAAATAACTGACAGCCATAAAAATACTAAGACTTTGACAAGTCTAAGAATTTGCTTACAAAATAATCATGTAGTGTCATCCAATAAAGATACAAATATAAAGTAGCAACTAAAAAAAAAAAGCATGATGATCAGTTGACAATAAAATAAAAACAAAAGGCACAGAAAAAATAATAGAACTTAAAGTTTAGACTGATACTTTTAAGATGATTTCACCATCGAGATACACATGATCACTTCTTTTCTTCCCAGATATTAATATGTAATTGTGGGTCTTTTTTCTAGGCCCACAATCATCCTTGGTAAAGAATAAGAACAGCTAAAAATGAGATTTCAGTTTCTTTCTGTATTTTGGAGAGATCAATCATCTAAAAGTTTTTAACATCAAAGATTTTAAAGATGATTCCCTCTGTCCGCCTCTCAGAGAGTAACACAGCTATTGAATGTCAATAGGAGGTATAGAACTCCTAATTCACTATACAGAGTGGGTCTTCATGACAGTACTATTTATAATAGATGTGGTCAAGCCTTGGCAATCTTTATTCATCGTATTTGGAGATGCCCTTAGTTACTGTGATATTTGAGAGATAGATACTGGAGCTGTTCAATACAAATTAATAATCTTTTTTTAACTAGTGTCACATGTACATGTAACCTACAGTATATATATGCATCTTGTGGCATCTAGATGTGTCAGACAATCAAGTTAATTTAGGATTTGGAAATGAAACTATTTATTTCTTGGAAATTAATTGCACAACCTTAATATTGCCACAACCACCAAGAGTGAGTATATGTATAATGGCAGTATATCTGAGTTTGATGTTGGTGTATTTGATTTTTCAGCATAGGGGAACTTTAAATAAATTTCAGTTGGTTTGATCAGAATTACTTCTGATACCTTGTTTGGTACCAAATAACTTGTTTGTCTAATAATGGTTTGGTTGTAAAACATGGAGGATAAAGGGGATATATGTTGGTATTAGGCATTATGTAATTAATGGGTGGAACCATGATGGATGTAACAAGCTCAGGTATATTGGAGTAATATTTGGCACTATGGGTAAGTATGTAATGTTTTGATGCTCGGATCTTTGGTTTTTCTTCTGTTTTGCTTTAAACATAGTTTGTTTTTATTGAATTATTTTCTTTTGGCAACATTTACACTAGCTGCATGTTAAGGCCCCTTTCACATGGTTGGACCAGTCAGGTTCACCTATTGTTTTTCAAGCGACCTGGTCAGCAGCTCCATGTAAATCTATAGGCACGTTGATATCTGTCTGTTTACATCTGCTTACCTCTGAGCCCATCCAGGTCCAGAAAAAAAAATGGAAAAGGTGCATGTTTCTTTTTTCTTTCTGACTGACGCAAGACCATTTACATTTGGTCACCCATAGATCTAATATGGGTACAGAAAGCTCCAGTTTTTAACTGCAACTAAACCTTGAATGGTCAATGACAGCACAAATTGACATCCATCTCATTCAGTTGCAATTCTGCAGGGATCTGTTCACAGATTTCCTACTGAAAGGACTAGGCAGTGCTCATATGAAAGGGGCCTAAAGTGATCTCTTTTAGCGTACCGTCTAATGTCTGCTGTGTGCCGGTGGTGGGGTGATGCCTTTTTCTCTTTCTTTTTTTAATATCATGTAAATGTCAAAATGACATTTAATTATCATTTATTTAACAAAGCAATCTGTGAATGGAGAAAGTGGACCTTCCAATCCTCCATCTCTCCTCCATTCATAGATCATGTTTCATTCATAGTAGCTGTAGTACAGCTTTTATGAATGGAGGAGCTGGGCAGAAAGGGCAGGTATAGTTGGGCACTCTAGATGAGTACCTGTCACAGCTCCACCAGCTTTATTAACTCTCGCACCATCGAAAAAATTATGGTAGTGGGGGGGGGGGGGGAGGGGGAATCAATGGAGGAGAATTTCGGCTAATAAAGAAGCCAGCAGCAAAAGGAATACATCCTACTGACTGTAATTAATGTCCCCTTTGTTGATTTTTGATTTTTGAGTAACCTAGGCTTTAAGAGGGATTCTGATGGACACTTCTGGATGTAAGAGGGAAGTCTGCTGGGCACACATAGATGCAAGGTGGAACTCTGATGGGCTTGCTTGAATGTAAGGGGGGACTCTGATAGGCAATTATGGATGTAAGGGGACATCATTATAAAATATTTGTACAATTTACAACATCTATGTACTGAAAGTTTGGAGACTCTTGCCATTAATACAGACCATATATACTCAAAGTGACACTAATCATACTGACCTCAATTTGCCTATAGTCACAAATAGATCTAATAGGGATTGAAGATTTTAATGGATTTTCTGGATTTCGAGGTTTCAGCTGCACTACTGACTTTGCTTTCCCCACAAGGCCGGCAATGGTACTCTTGTACTGCAAAAGCTGTTCTTTTTCTTCCTAAATAATTAAAAAGAAAAGGCACTGTTAGTCATGCTGAACAAAAGATTTCCTTCTCACATTCCATTAATTATAAAGAGGCCTGACTCTAATTGTTTAATTTATTAAATTCTAACAAATGTCCCTTTGCATTGGTAGAGCTTTGGTTTAACACTTAAATGCAGATTTAACATGCTACCTTCTGTTATGGTAAGAGCTGGTAGTCTGCAGGTGCCAATTTGCTTTTGTGTTTCAATGTATAAAAGAAAATTGTATTTAAAATTACCATAGATTCTTGTACCAGGTCTTCTAGCTTGTGTACGCTGGTCGATTTGTCACAGCTGTATTTCCTCAGTATGCCATCTTTTAAGCTCTTCAGATAATTAGTGGATTCTTTGGCATCGTTGAAATACTAACACAATGCAAAAGCAAAATAACATTAGTTTAAACAAAATAACATCAAACTACACCTTATTATGGAATAAGCTCCTCTGTTAAAGGTTTAAATTCATTGGCTTCTCAAGTACATTGCAATAAATCTGCAAAAAAAATCTCTTTTAATATGGGGGTAGAGCAGACTACACAGAGTTGCTAAGTGACTACCAACTTCGGCAGTTCATTTCTGGATTCTTGTATTCCATTTCATTCCAACCAAGCAAATTACTATTGGCTTATTACTTTGTTGGGTGCATTCATCGGCCAATAGTAAGATGCAAGATACAAGAGGGTCCAGTAACAATCATTGCCTATAAATCCTGGCTGATGTTTCCATAACACATTGCACATGGTCCAGGGGTCCACTGTCCATGGTTCATGGGAACAAGGCTGACGGCTGACATACAGGCATTTTGCAGACGCAAACTCTTTGGAATAATTGCCAGTTTAGATTGTTTCTTAGGCCCACAGATTTCCTTTAAGGAAAATTATTTTAAAAAAGGAACAATGAATTACAGCTTGAACATATTTTAAATTAGTTATTTCTAGTACTGAGAAAATTAAATATCATGGGGGGGGAATATATAGCCTTTACACTTGAATAGTAAGATAAGTAAAATGATGGTATGAAATGTACACTTTTAATTCCTCCAAACACATAATTTCCAGGATTTATTATTTTCAAAACAAAAATGTCAAAGATAATGATCAAACAGGAGTGCAATTTTGTAAACTGTCAAGCTGTCACAAAAAATGTCCATGTGGCAGGGAGGAGTTTCAGCAGAAAAAAACATGGATTAGGTTTGGGAGGTTCTGAGTGTGGTTTACATAGATTTGGGAGTAGCTTGGTCATAATAGGTGGGGCTACTATGATAAGGGAACAATATTAAAAGGTTATTATATTTTGATGATAACACATTGAGAAACTGCATCTCAACATGAGCATGTAAAACATAATCTTTAGGGACTTCTAGAAGAAAGCATAAAGGGTCACAAATCTATTCAAATAACTGGATTATGTAGACCCTTTCCAAGAAAAAAATATGCACACGCTAATTATGCAGCAAATACAACTGCACTGTACTTTACTGATAAAATACCTCAAAGTAAGCAGTGTTTTGACGTATGTGTTGTTCTACACAGCTGCAGAGCTGTAAAATCCAGTTCCATTGAGTCTGCATTGCAGCTTTGTAGGCCTGAAAAAAAATGCACAATAAATTCAGGTTAGGCTGACAACAACAAAGTATACATACTTATATGCCAAATATGAAAAAAGCAAGTACTACTAAAAAGAAAAAAGATGCATAGCAGGAAAACCTCAAAATCCCCACATATTACTCCAAGTGCAGGATTGTAGAAAGGAAGAGTATTTTAAGTAAAGACATGCAAGACAAAAATGGCATATTCAGCAGGAACATGTATGATAATAACTTCAGCTGCACTAGAGCACATTGCACCTGTTCACCAGAGGAACCTGCAGGCCAGCCAATGTAAGATGCATTCTAAATACTAACCTCAATAGTTGATCTTGCAGGATGATTTTGAAGCAGCATTTGCTCTGCTGTGTCCTGTAGTGATTTAATGACTTCTTCTTTATGATCAAGTTCTCTCATCAGATCCTTCACAAACACGGACATCAAAGTTACTTCAAAGTTAGTCTAATTGTACTCTGTCTCATTGTGTGCAGAATAAAGATAATCAGTGCATTTGTTTATTCTAAGGATCTTTTTACTTCATATGAAAGGTTTGGAAATGCATACAACATCTAACAGATATGTTTCATAGAGCCAATAAAAAATTATGATATGCAATATGTAATAACCCATAAGATCCAAGCAGATTTCTGCTTTCAATGGTTTACGTACTTAGGGTTCGTTCACACTTGACTTTATTTCTAACTCTTGCCAAATGCCCCTATAGTGTTTGACAGGCATTAGACAAGCATTTGGGAAGCGTTTTTAATGCTCCTCAAAAGCTCCCCAAACGCCCTATGCTTGGTTTTGAGGCGTTTGCCAAGCGTTAAAAACCACAAACGCCTATAATGAAGTTAAATGGTATTAATGCTCCGCAAACGCCTCACAACTGCCTCGCAACCACGACGCAACTGCCCCACAAATGCCTGCCAGGCGTTTGAGGAACGGCACCATAGACTTGGAAATGGGAGGCTTCAACTCCTCCTGACTCAACATGAGGCATCAGTTTTGCTGCGACAGGACGCTAACGCTTCAATGTGAACAGCACTGTGTGCTGCCATGTGCAGAATTTTCATATGCGTTTGAGAAGCATTAAAAATGCTTCCCAAACGCCTGTCTGATGTCTGCTGACAAAGCTAGTGTGAACGTAGCCTAAAAGATGAATTCTGGCTGTCTGCAATGGAACTCCCACACTACCTATTTTTGTTAGGCGTATTAACAAGACTGAAGGAAACCAAATACACAGTTACATAAACTACACTTAATACTTATTAATACTAATAATCTAATTTTGCCACAATGTATTTAGGCAAGCTAGAAAAGCAATCTGTCACAAAATGAAATCCTTCACTAAGACGTTTGTGATAAAAGCAGTATCCGCTAATTCACAAGTTGCATACAAGCTTGGAGCATTGACATCACTTGAGCTAAATAGCCTTTGTTTCAGTGTGCTGGAGTAAGTATTGAGCCTAGAAAAAAAGGCTGATTCCATTTTAGGCTTCAGAGCCGAAAGACAGATCACCTTCATTGCAGAGTCATAAATTCATCTAAAGTCCTGATGATTATATGTGTCATGGTAAACATTCCTTGCAATTTTGCCTAATGCTTCAGCACCAGCAAAAATTATGGTTCAGTTCCAATTCTTTCAAAAGCATGTCTTCTGACACATGCAGATTTGGGAATAGATCTCTGGAGGACCCCACAGCTAAGAAAATTACTACAGTGGACCTCCACTGATAAAAGTATTGACATGTCAAATGCCTTTTTTGCCCATGCTATTTCTTCCATTTATAGTTATTTTGTTTACATGCTACTGACTGCAGTAAATTGGTGCCAATATTTGAATGCTCATGCTACTCCTACTACAAAGATTAGAATGCCCGTATTACAGAATTACAATTTCTGTTAAACTATTGCTGCATTTTAGGCACAAAGAAGTGCTAAGATCAGCTGTGTGAAAGTAATTTTAGCCAGCATCAAGATAACGGTAACTGTTTCCATATGTGAAAGCCACAATTAGATTGCTCATACTTACAGCATGATAGTCTTTTTTACCAGATATATTTTGGTTTCTATCGCTCCAGTCATAAGCTACTTCCTCCTCCTCTTTTTTCATTTAGCCATATAAGCTCCCTTGTAGCTCTTGTGACAAAACTGTGCAAGGAGTCTAGGTACTTATGTCGGTTTCTTGATGAACTCTTACATTGTTTAAGGAAACAAAAAAAAAAAAGAAAAAAAACGTCATGAAAAGTCTGTACTGTATACATGTTCAATGCAGGATTAATAGAATAATGAACCTCTACCCCATAGGCTTTCTACAGAATGGATAGTGAGTTGAAGGCCTGATGTGTGTTTTGGCAATATCAGTTCCATGCAGGGTCAAGTATGTTTAGGTGCAATCAAATAAATATTTCTCACCACCCCACTAAAAGATTTAATATTTACAGTTAATACAGTATTTATGTTGTCACCAATGTAACTTGCAGAAATAATACTTACCAGCAGTTTGGAATAAAGGCCCTCCACTTTGTGCAGAGTATCAGAGTATGAACTTTTCAAAGGACCAGACATTTGAAGCTGAAAATTTTGAAAATTGGTAAGAAAATGACACAGAAGTCAAATATGTAAAACCAATATAATATTATAAATAGGAATTTGTAAGGAAATTTCTAATTCTGTGCAATGAAGATGTTAATGTCCAGCCCTATTAATAACATGTGAAGAGTAAGTTATTATATAAGGACATTAGGATATTACATATTATCAGTTATGTCTTGGGGGCATATTTATAAAGCAGTGACTATAACAATCACCAAACATTCAGAGTAGGTGAATCAACTATTGTCATTTAAAACACATTCATCAGGAAGATTTAGCTACAGTGTACGTTTGTTGAATGTCACATTCACTGAAATATACATACATCCCTAAAATTACATGACCTAAAGGAGGCCAATGTAAACGTGATTTAACCTGATATACATAAGAAGAATTTTATTTGGACACGTAATGAGTGATTTGGCTCTCAATCACATAAAATTGACCAGATTATGAATTTTAGGAAGACTACAGTTCACATTCACCAAAACGGTATGTCCAAATGATTACATGTATATATTTTATCAATAAATGTTCTCTATTTTTTGGAAGGGCTATGTATCATCATTTGAAATGTGAACTTGCAAGAGCGAAATTCTCACAGTTATTTCACAATAAAATAAAAATTCTTAAAGTCTTCAGGTAACAGAAGGTAAAACTATGCACTCATTTATAACCAGAGGCGTTACATGTACACTGCTTTATTATATTTCACAAAGTGCTAATGTCAGGACTCAGAATTTTCCTGCAAGCACAGACATAGCGTGATCTGTTCAGAGAGAAAAAGTAGAATCACACATTGTGCACTTTGGCAAATACATTTTATTTCACTGGTAAGATTTTTTTGGTGTCCTGCGTTTAGTTTATTTAATGCCAAAGAATATATACTGCAAGCATAGCAAACACAAAACAACTACCAAAAACTAAACTGATTCTTTAACAAAACTGTTATAACAATAACAACAAATGCAAATATAGCTGGGGACAATATGAGAGTAATAAAAGCCTTAAGAAAATACCTCAGTCATTTTTGCCTCTTTAAGACTGGTCTCAAATTCTTCAATACCCCCATGAAAATTTTTGTGATTTTCTAAATTGAACTCAATACTTGATAATTCTGAACCCCATTCTCCTCGGTCCAGTTGTATCTGCCAAAAAACACCAAGATGGTTGACATTATTTCAGTCACCAATACTTTGAAATAGCTAACACCATGCTAATGAAAGTATATCACTATACACTGCACATGCCAATATGACATTTTTACATAAAATCTTTTCCCCCCTATGTGGTATCACAGTTAGGATCCCCATACCCTGACAGTTAGGGAACTTACCCCCTATCAGAGCTACAATGCCGTCTCTCCTAGTATTCATAATCAAATGCAATTTAAGTCAAAGTATCATATCAACTTACTCCACTAGCAGCAGATATCCAGCAGACTGTCAAAAGTGTGACATGAATATCTGTGGCTCTGATAGGGATGAGTTTACCCAAACTACCTGTGCGTTAGGTATGGGAACCACACTATTTCTGAAAACCATCTTTAAAGAACCTTTGATTGTTGCAGTCATCAATTAAATGAAGTGCTCTAACCAGGATATGGCACTTTAACATAAGTACAATATACTTCTTAAGCATTTTCCATAATTTCTCCAAGAAGTGTTGATGATGGTGTAGGCAACATTTGTTGCTGCTTCCTGAATTTACCCAGTGGATCAGCCAGAAGATCCCATACAACATCTCTCCTGAGATATTGTCCCATGCTTGTAGCCAGATAAGTAGACTGCCTTCCAGACCAACAAATCACACACCCTTCCAAGACTAATTCCAAAGATTTTACCTGCATCTCTTCCACCCAGTTACAAAGGTCTTGAACAAATGTAAGGTTGACTTCTTCCTCAGGCAAATTTTGGTCAGCAAAAGATGATTTTAACAGTGGTTTCTTAATTTGCATGCGTTTGAGTGACTGCAATGCATTTGTGTTCATCCCCGTTGCATAGTTCTGGATTAAACCTTGGTTAAAACCTGGTGCAAACCCTGGCGTCATAGCAGGAGTTAATGGTGAGTTAAAGCCTTGAGAATAACTTGTAGTAAGGCTGGATGGCAGACCAGGCGTGAGAACAGGTGGGAGAGCAGGAGACAGGCTGCCAGAAACACCCTGATTTAGGTTGGCGGCAATACCCTGGGCGAAGTTGGTGGAAATACCAGGTGCCAGGCTAGCGGAAATCCCTGGAGTTAGGCTGGTTGGTGACATGGGTGCCATACTGTGGGATAAACTGGAGTTCATTGCAGGGTTCAAGCTTTGTGAAAATCCTGAGTTGAGGCTTTGTGATATTCCTGATATCATAAGTTGCGTTTGGTCAGATGAAAGCATCCTTCCTTTGCTGTATAAAGATGAGTATTCATTCCTTAACGCCAGTAGTTCATCCCGTAAGGAAGCAACCCTGTGTATAAATGATATTAAATGCTATCAGAAAAGCTAGCACATGCACAACAAAAATATATCAAGCAGTTATTATTTACACAACTATAATAAAGCCTTGTGCCAGACAAAATACACAAGGCGAACATATTTTTATTATGTAGACAGCATTACCTCTGTACCAGCTGATCTGCTTGGTAATACTTTCCATCTACAAGGGTCTGGACATCAACAAGTTGCTGTCGCAAGAGATTCTCACATTCAATTAGGTAGCCCGCAATTTCTGAATCATTTTGAAATTGAATGCCTGATTCCATCCGTTTCATATCCTGTGATTAAAAACACCACAGATGTGTTTTTCATGTATTATTTCATTTCCTTGTCTACATTATTATAGTTTTAGATAACACAACAAAACTTATCACTAATTATGGAATAACTCTAGCAGTTTTGAAAAAAATTGTCATACATGTGCAAAACCTTAAAGAAAATGCTGTTACATTATTCAACTAAAAATATGTGTGACTTAGATATTATCATCAACTTATTTAGTTAGGCCACAATATGTAATTATTAAATTGGAAGAATCCAATATAATACAAGTGTTGAGATCTAGCAAGTAATGTATTGTAATTTAGCTGTGTTAGAAAACACTCACAGCTTGAAGAGCACTGCGAGCTAGAATCAGCTTGTCTTCACATCCAAGGCTATCCCTCTGCACTCGAATAGCTATTTGTTGCAGCATGTCTAACCTAAATGCAAAAAAAAAAAATAACACAGAAAACATAAGGATAAAAAGTAAGAGGCTACATTAACAAAGAAAGTATTTGAGAAAAGACAAATAGATAGTCATAGAATTAAAAAAAATAACACTAATAATAAATAAATAAAAACACTGCCTCAAATATGTCCAAAGTATGTTAATATTTTACAAGTTTATAACTATACTAAATGACATACCTTGAGTTGCTGGATTGCTCGGTGCCAAAGCTTATATAAGAATTAATCATTTTAGGACCACAGTGAACTGACAGTGAGTTCTCATTGGAGCTGATGCTGGTGCGGTTTGCTCCCCGTGAGTACAGAGTCACTACTGTAGTAGCCATAACAGGTGCTGTTCATTTTTATACTACTGACCCTTATTCACCCATTCAAACTGACAGTATGATAAAAGATAAAAATATAAAAAAAAGCCTAGAGAATGTACAGCTTCCAGGAACGAAAAAATATCCCTACTGGCTAAGAGTACCACTAGCGTCCTTTCTTAAATAGGCTTCAACATGTAGATTCATAACCCAGCAAATAATATTCACATTGCTCTTCAAAGGATTTCGCCTGCAGCCAAATATACCAGTGCAAGTTTGCCTTTCCTCCCCAGCTTTAATACAGAGCAAGTTTGGGCTTATCAGCTTCATTTGGGCGTCTGTGGGAAATGGATATGCCAAATATTTCAATTATTCTCAATTAGCCAGTTTCAAACCCAGTGTTGATAAACCTCTGGTGTTTACTTCCCTGAAAGCTGACAATAGGAAATCATTAACATACACATGGAGTACACTGTCAGTCTCGGACAAGTAATTGTTGCAGCATGTTGTCACAATGATTTAATGTAAAAAGTTACAGCAAATAATAGTTCTAGGTGCTGATCAGTTCCTACAGGACTTTTTGCACAGTGGTGTCCTTTACAAATCTGCATTTAATATATGAACTCTAATCTATGTAGTAACATTGAAAACATGTAGGTGTATTTATTAAAGAAGAAGTCCAGTGATAGGTTACAAATAGTTAAGTGTAATGAGGCGTATGTCACTTTTTGGTTAGCTGCCTCTCCTTCACAACTTACACTTATATTGATGCCTGAGAGTATAGCTATCTTTAAACTTCCAGCACTCCAACAGGAAACCTTTGTGTCCCCAATGGAGCAGCCATCCTGTTGTTTGTCCACCCCTCTTTGCCCGCCCCTCTTCTTGAGTATTTATAAAACACTTTGGGGAAGATTTACTAAAACTGGAGAGTGCAAACTCTGGCGCAGTTCTACATAAAAAGCAATCAGCTTCCGTTTTTTTTTTTGACGAAGCTTACTTGAACAAGCTGAAATTAGAAGCTGATTGGCTACCATGCACAGCTGTGCCAGCTTTTGCACTATCCAGTTTTAGTAAATCAACCTCTTTGTATTCTGTGAACTATTCACAACATAAAAAGTGTTCAAGGAAGACTCTGGGGTTCTTCTTTAAAGCCCAAATCCAGCTAGACCAAGAAAAAAGGCAACTATGGCTGCTATAATCACCTTCTCTCTGGCACTTTGCCTTGCATGCTTACCTAATCACTGATCCAGTGCTGCTTCTTTTCCAAGTTGAAATACAGTGAGAAACAGAAGTATTTGAACACCCTGCGGGTGCTTTCTAAATGCTGCCGAGAACAGTGCCATATAATGACATAGCCCCACTCTTGAAAGCATTTTCCAGTATATCCAGGATGATGAGGCAGATTATAGTGTATACAGTGAGGAACAGAAGTATTTGAACACCCTGCGACTTTGCAAGTTCTCCCACTTAGAA